ATGTCACAATTTAAAGGTGTCCCCCCTCACAACAGCGGGATGCCCTCCCTCTTACCTTCAGTGGCCCCTTCCAGCAGATCCCAGGTGCTAGCTCTGTGTGGAGAGGCAACAGCAAACAGCTGGGAGCTGTAGGAAGGAGCCGCTGCTTTAGCGCCATGGGGAGAGGCAGCAGCAAAAGCAGCGGCTCTCCCTGCAGCTCCCAGCTGTTTGCCACTGCCACTCCCCATGCCTGCAGCTCCCAGCTTGCCAGCTCCAGCAGCTGCCATGCAAAGAGGGAACCCGATGACATCATATGCCCAAGCGGGGCCAGCAAACCATGGCAAAAATTGGGGGGCGAGGAGAGGAGCACATAAACCCATGTGCCACCCCCCCCCCCCCACACACACATCTCCTCTGGCTTCTGCCCAGCAGGGAGGGGTGGTCTCAGGGCTTCAGTCCTGTGTGACTTGCCTGCCAGTGCTCGGGGCTTCAATATATAGCAGCATATCTGAACTAGCACTACCTTTAAACTAAACATTGGAAATTATGCAGTATGAGCTACTGTTACCCTTAATAAATGGGCATTTTAATCCCATTATTATTTCACCTTCTTCTGGGATACTGACCCTAGAATACCACTAATTCTCCTAATGGATCTCAGGTACACAATGAAAACAGGAACAATGCAAAACCTAATGATACTCTATATGAGATCTCTCTGAGTAAAAAGGAAAATGAAGGTTACTTACTTGTATCCGGAGTTCTTTGAGATGGACTATGAATATTCCCACTCATGGGATGCTCCGACCAGCACAGCCTGAATGGTAGAACTCTAGCCAGCAATGTTCTCTGGAACGCTCATGTCTGTCCCTCAGCCCTCCCATCAGTGAACATTAAACCTTCCATGGCAAGGATATAAAAGGGGTATGGTGGCCAGCTGCCTCAGGTCCTTTTCCCATGGCCTCAGGTCCTCTGAGAGTAGGACTCCAAAGCAGAGAGGAAAGGTGTGCAGAATGTGTGAATATAGGGAGTCCATGTCGAACAACTCCAGTTACAAGTAAGTAACCTTCATTTCTTCTTTGACTATCCTCTGCATATTCCCACTCACAGGACAGTCTAACTACGGTAACTCTGACCCAGGCTGGTGGGAACATGGAATCCTAGTAAAATGAGAATTGCATTGCCAAATTTTGCATCTGATCTAGGTTTTAAGTCTAAGGAGTAGTTCCTAGTAGAAGTGTGGATTGTACACCACATTATTACTCTTTATGTTTCTATTAAAGGAATATGTCTAGCGAATGCCACAGATACTGCTTCTGATCTAGTAGAATGAGCTCTAATTCCTTCAGGACAGGAATTCATCAGCTTATAAACTTCAATACATAGCCTAACCCATCTTGCAAGAATTTGTACGTGACCTCTCTCCCATTATTCCTCTTTTCATAAGAAATAAAGATATTGGGAGACTGTTGAAAATGCTTAGTTCTATTTAAATGAAAACTAAAGCCCTTCTAACTTCTAGCACATGAAATCTAGCCTCCTCATCTTGAGTGTGAGGTTCAGGAAAAAAAAGCTGGTAACAGATTTATAGTAAAATATAAGAATCTTGGGTGTGTACAGAGAATTCCTTTATCCTTATGAAAGATAGTAAATGGTGGGTACAGCATTATCACTTGTAATTCACTTATGCGCCTTGCAGAAGAGATAGCTATCAAGATGACTGTCTTAATAGATAAAGAGAACAGCATACAGATTCCCACAGTTCAAATGAATGTTTCATTAACTGTGTAAGCACTACGTTTAAATTCGAAGATGGTATAGGATATCTAACCGATGGATATAGATTATTAAGACATTTCAAGAATCTTTACATCACGAGTAAAAACTAATTTACTATCCACAGGGACATAGTAAACTGAAATTGCTGCAAGATGAACCTTGACTGGTGACAAACAGAGACCAACTCTTTTAAGATATAATGAGTAATAATAAGTAGGGCTGTTGATTAACCGCAGTTAATTCATGCAATTAATTAAAAAAAAATCGCAATTAAAAAATTGTGATTTATCGTGCTGTTAAGAATAGAATACCAAATGAAATTTATTAAATATTTTGGATGTTTTTCTACATTTTCAAATATATCAATTTAAATTACAACACAGAATACAATGTGTACAGTGCTCACTTTATATTATTTTTTATTACAAATATTTGCACTGTAAAAATAATAAACAAAAGAAATAGTATTTTTCAATTCACCTCATACAAGTGCTGTAGTGCAATCTCTATCATGATAGTGCAACTTACAAATGTAGATTTTTATTACATAACTACACTCAAAAACAATGTAAAACTTTAGAGCCTACAAGTCCACTGAGTCCTACTTCTTGTTCAGCCAATTGCTAAGAGAATCAAGTTTGTTTACATTTATGGAAGATAATGCTGTCCACTTCTTAATTATGTCACCTGAAAGTGAGAACAGGCCTTCTCGTGACACTGTTGTAGCTGGCGTCGCAAGGTATTTACACATGCCACATGCGCTAAAGATTCATATGTCTCATCATGCTTCAGCCATCGTTCCAGAGGTCATGCTTCCATGCTGGCGATGGTAGTTAAAAAAATAATGCGTTAATTAAATTTGTAACTGAACTCCTTGGGGGAGAATTGTATGTCTCCTGTTCTGTTTTACCCGGATTCTGCCTTACATTTCATGTTATAGCAATTTCAGATGATGACCCAGCACATGTTGTTCGTTTTAAGAACACTTTCACAGGAAATTTGACAAAATGCAAAGAAGATACCAATGTGAAATTTCTAAAGATAGCTACAGCACTCAAGCCAAGGTTGAAGAATCTGAAGTGTCTACAGAATCCGAACCACCAAAAAAGAAAATCAACCTTCTGCTGGTGGCATCTAACTCAGATGATGAAAATGAACTTGAGTTGGTCCGCACTGCTTTGGATTGTTATCGAGCAGAACCCGTCATCAGCATGGATGCATGTCCTCTGGAATGGTGGTTGAAGCATCGAGGGATATATGAATCTTTAGCGCATCTGACATGTAAATATCTTGCGACACCAGCTACAACAGTGCCATGCAAATGCTTGCTCTCACTTTCAGGTGACATGGTAAACAAGAAGCAGGCAGCATTATCTTCTGCAAATGTAAACAAACTTGTTTGTCTGAGCGACTGGCTGAACAAGAAGTAGAACTGAGTGGACATATAGGCTCTAAAGTTTTACATTGTTTTGTTTTTGAATGCAGGGGGTTTTGTTACATAATTCTACATTTGTAAGTTCAACTTTCATGATAAAGAGATTGCACTACAGTACTTGTATTAGGTGAATTGAAAAATACTATTTCTTTTGTTTTTTACAGTACAAATATTTCTAATAAAAAATAAATATAAAGTTTGCACTTTACACTTTGTATTCTGTGCTGTAATTGAAATATATTTGAAAATGTAGAAAACATCCAAAAATATTTAAATGAATGTATAAAGAATAAAAGTATTATATTATTAACAGCATGATTAATCACACTTAATTTTTAATTAATTGCGATTACTTTTTTTAATCGTTTGACAGCCCTAATAAGAAGTAAGATAGAATATGTAAGTAATCAGAGCGGCATATGGATCTATATCAGTGGTTCTCAACTTATTTATCATTGTGGGCCTCATATGCTGGACCCCCGACCCTGCAGGGCAGGCCGGCAGCCTCGACCCCGGACCCTTGCCGTGGGGGGCAGGCTGGCAGCACTGACCCTGACCCCATTGAGAGATGAGGGAGGCACATGAACATGCTAACAAACACTTCTAGCTAGAGTTCTATTGGTCAGGCTGAACGGTCTGTGCATCCCATTAGTGGGAACATGCAGAGGACACCTGAAGAACTGTGCAGCACTACCAATGAGATCTCTCCATGAAAAAGCAATGGGGCCACTAATGAGATCTACCCCATCCTCTTCTCAGGTCTACAAACACACTAGTATCACCTCATATTCCACAATGTTGAAAATGTCTGATATATCCAGTATGACAGAAAAAGATATACTGAGGTTGAGTGTGATAAATTGCATTAAAATGACATGTTAAATTGTAGGTCCATTAAAAAACACAGGAAAATACTAAAGCCTAGCTCTAGATTGGTTTGGGGTGAGAATATGACCATGCAGTTGGTTGCTGGTGAGGTATTTCTCCTTCCCATCCAGATGGGTATATAAAAAGATCAGGCATGTAAAAGCGCTACCAGTTGTTCTCACACATTAGTATTTTTATTGTGGTCAGAGATATCTCAAAACATTAGAATGTCTAATTTTGTTGCCTACTCTACTTCAGTTTCAGAAAACTCTGGGAAAGACTAAAATACCCTTATTGTACATTAGGGGCTAACGCTGAACTCCTCCCATTTCTCCCTTTTGGTGTACTTACTTCATCGCTATTCCATCTGTTAGATACCACTGGGCGTAGGCGCTTGACACATACCACCTCTCTCATATCTTCATAAGATGGATCATTCGGCACCATGTCATAATATGGCAACTGGTACTCTTCAACAATACCTGAAATATGTGTGAAAGATCAGGGTAATATATGCAAGAACAAACTAAATCCATAAATCTGCTCCTAATCTAAACTCCTAACTAACTGAAGAAGCATAAATTAACACAAAATTCTCTTGTCAGCAACTTAAATTCATCAGTGGTTGAAAACTATAGGTAACACAGAATTGTACATAATATGACTTGCTGAAAATTTATAGTTGATGGTGGACATTTAGGACTAAATGCTGACTTAATTACCTATAGTCCCACTTAATATTTGGCGCTATCTGTCCTATTACATACTATAGACCTACTCCCTACAACAGAGGCGTGCATACATGCATATCTTCCACTTTATTCTGAGACTGCCTGTAATCTTCCTATTTCACCACATCCAAGAAGTGTACTTCACTGAACATATAAAGACAGATCACTGTCCCAAGACGATGCAATCTAAATTAGGATGAGAGGGTTACTCACCTTGTGCAATAACTGAGGTTCTTCGAGATGTGTCCCCCTGTGAGTGCTCTACTTTAAGAGTTTTAGCACCCTTGTGCTTGTTATCGGAGATTTGTGGTAGCAGTGCCTGGTTGGGTCGCACATGCTCAGTCCCCGTCTCGCGCTGCCTCAAGCAGTTAATTGGCACTGTGCGAGCAACCTCCCCTCTGTTCCTTCTCTACTGCAAAGCATGAGTGTGAAACTCTGAAGTAGAGGGGCAGATGGAGGGTAGTGGAGCACCCATGGGGACACACATCTCGAAGAACCTCAGTTACTGCACAAGGTGAGTAACTCTCTCTTCTTCGAGTGATGTCCCTGTGGGTGCCCAACTTTAGGTGACTTCAGAGCAGTGCCCTCCAGTGGAAGGGAGGGGCTTTGGAGTTGACGTTGTGGCAGAGGATAATACGGCGAGTCCAAATAATGCATCAGATGTTGCAGGCTGCTCTAATGCGTAGTGCTACATAAATGTATGGGTAGAGGCCCATGTCACAGGTCTACATAGGCCGGAATGGGAACACTGTTCAGAAAAGCTATTGAAGTCGACATTGCCCTGGTGAAACGCATGTGAATCCCCATAGGGGGTTGCAGGTCCTGTGGCTGGTAACACAATTTGATGCATTCTGAAATCCATTTGGAGAGCCTCTGTTTGGATATGCCATTTCCTTTTGATTGTTCCATGATTGAAACGAATAATTTTGGGACTTGCGGAATGACCTTGTTCTATCTGTGTAAAAAGCCAGGGCCCTGCGAACATTGAGGATGTGAAGTGTGCATTCTTGCCTATCCTTATGTGGCTTAGGATAGAACATGGGTAAGTAGATGGTTCGGTTGAGGTGGAAAGAGGCAGCAACCTTAGGTAAGAACTTGGGATGCGGTCCGAGAGTGATTTTGTCTTCAGAAAATACTGTGTAGGGTGAATCAGCCATGAGGGCCCCTAGTTCCCCCATTCGTCTTGCAGATGTAATGGCGACTAGAAAGGTCACCTTCATTGACAGATGGAGAAGTGAGCAAGTGGCTAGTGGCTCGAATTGGGTATCTGGTGATGCCCCAGAGAACTAAGTTGAGGTCTGAAAGTGTTGAGGCTTTTCAGAAAATGTTTGGTGGTATCTTATGGTGGAAAGCTGCTATGGCTGAGAGATGTACCCTGATTGAGCTAATAGATAGGTCTGATCTTTTAAATTCATGCAGGTAATCCAGAATCAAAGGTAAGGGGGCAGATACCGATGTGGTCTGCTTCGTGTGACACCAGGAATCAAAGTGTCTCCATTTGTGTAGGTATGTGCAGCAGGTAGTCAGTCAGTGACTATTTAATAAAATGTTCTGTACTTCTTTGGAGCATGTCATTTCAGGGCCCCTGGAGCCATGGAGCAACCACGTTTTGAGATGGAGTGTCTCCAGGGTCGGGTGCAGAGTTCATCCCGAGTCCTGGGACAGGAGACAAGGCAGGAGAGGAAGAGTTTGAGGTCTGCACACTGACATTCTGAGAGTGTAGAGGAACGATGTTTGACAAGGCCATGCAGGGATTATCGGTATTACTGTGGTCTTGTCTGCTTTGATCTTGTGAGGCACTCACGCCATAAAGGGAATGGAGGTGCAGGGGAGGAGGCATATAGGTGGAGAGCGTCCTCCATTTGATAAGAAACGCATCTCCCAAGGAGTGATGGCCCATGCTGGCCCTGGAGCAAAACAACAGGCATTTGGTGTTGTACTCCATTGCAAAGAGGTCTATTGTGGGGAATCCCCATTGTTTGACTATGTTGTGGAAAACCCTGGTGTCAAGTTCCCACTTGTGGTCCTGAGAAAAGTTCCTGCTGAGTGCATCTGCCATAGTCTTTTGACATCCGGGCAGGTAAGCTGCTATAATATGGATGTTGTGCTGGATGCACCAGTGCCAAAGTTGCATGGCCTCTGCACACAGGGAATGTGAATGTGAACCCTCCTTGTCTGTTTATGTAGAACATGCATGCCAAATTGTCCATGAGTATTTGTATGGTCTTGTTTCTGATCATGGGTAGGAAGGTGGGGCATGCATTGTGAACAACTCTGAGTTCTAGCAGATTTATGTGAGGGCGGGCTTCTGTTAGGGACCAACGACCTTGAGCAGAATGTGAGTTCAGATGTGCTCCCCAACCTATGAGGGACGCATACGTCGTAATAGTCAATGTAGGAGGGGCTTGGGCGAAAGGCACTCTCAGGCATACGTTGTGTGGTTGTGTCCACCAAGATAGAAAGTCTTTTACTTTGCTTGGCATTGTGAGGCGTTTGTTTATACTGTGTCTTCATGAGCAATAAATTGGACGGAGCCAAGCTTGTAGGGTTCGCATATGTTGCATATGTCGCGTGTTGAGCGATGAAGGTCGATGCGGCCATGTGACCCAGTAATTCCAAACAAGTCCTGGCTCTTACCTGGAGGCTGTTGAGTGATGTGGCAATCAGATTCATTCACTGAGGGTTGACTTTTTTTTTCTTTTTTTGGGAGACCTAATTGCGGAAAGAGGCCTATTGTTTGTTGGGTAGCCTCCACTGCTGCTGGTCAATTCGCTGCTTATAGTAGGCAATCATGCAGATATGGAAATATCACGATTCCTCTCTTGCAGAGGAGCGCAGCGACTACCGCGAGTACCTTTGAGAAGACTCGGGGAGAAATGGACAGACCGAAGGACAGGACCTTGTATTGGAAATGATCTGGTCCGAGAATGAATCAGAGAAACCTCCAATGTGATGGGTGAATCATTATGTGGAAGTATGCTTCCTGGAGGTCAAGGGCCGAGAGCCAGTCCCCTCTTTCTAACGCTGGGATAATGTTGGCCAGCATCACCATCTTGAAGTGTTGATTTCTGATGAATTTGTTGAGCCATCAGAGATCAAGAATGGGTCTTCATCCTCCTGTTTATTTTGTGTGTGTGAGGTAGTAATTTGAGCAGAAATCCGTCCCTTTGTATTTTGTTGGTATCAGTTCTACTGCTCCTAGCCGGATGAGGTGGGTTACCTCCTGTCGCAATAGATCTTCATGAGAGGGGTCCCTGAAGAGGGAAGGGAGGGGTGGGTGGGTGGGTATGGAGTACCCAACTTCAATTATCTCCAGCACCCATCTGTCTGTAGTGATAGATTGCCAGACTGGGTAATAGGGGAGTTAAACGGTTTCCAAATGGCTGGGAGATGGTAGGAGTTTCCAGTGTTGAAAGTTGGGGGGTCTCGGGCCCTCGACCAATGTTGATGAGTAGATGAATGTGGTAGACTGATTTGACAAGTATAGTCTCCTTGGGGGTCATTGTTTCTGGGCTTGTGGCTCGTATTGCCTGTGTGTCTGTGCAAACTGAGTGGACCGGAAGCTCTGTGGGTTATAATACCTTCCTTGTCTTCTCTTTGTCCTAGGAGTATAGATACCCAAGGACTTCAGAGATGCCCTTGAACGGCAGGTCCTCCACTGTTGCTTGCACTTCTTTAGGGAAGCTAGAGAGATGCAGTCAGGACGCCCTCCTCATTATGATCATGGTGTGGATCGTGCTGCTCTATCTGCAGAGTCTAGGGCAGCTTGCGGTGCCATCCTGGTGATCAGTTGGCCCTCGGAAATGAGTGCACTAAATTGCTTTTTTTTCCCCCTCAGAGAGAAATTCAATAAAATTGGATAGTGTGCCATAATTTGTGGGGTTGTATTTGGCTAATGACATATGATTGTTTGCCCCTTTCATTAACAGCATCCACTACCAGGGAGCTTGGTGTGGGATGTGAAAAAAGAAAAAGTGGTTACCTACCTCTCGTAACTGTTGTTCTTCGAGATGTGTTGCTCATGTCCATTCCAATAGGTGTGTGCGTGCCGTGTGCACGATCGTAGGAAGGTTTTTCCGCTAGCAGTACCCGTCGGTTTGGCTGTAGATACCCCTACAGTGGCGCCTTTATGGCGGTGTATATAGGTCCCTGCCGACCCGCCGCCTGCTCAGTTCCTTCTTGCCGGAATACTCCGACAGAGGGGTGCCGGGCGGGATTTGGAATGGACATGAGCAACACATCTTGAAGAACAACAGTTACGAGAGGTAGGTAATCATTTTTTCTTCTTCGAGTGATTGCTCATGTGGATTCCAATAGGTGACTTCCAAGCAGTTCCCCCGGAAGGAGGGGTCGGAATTCACCTGGTTGCTGAGTGCAGGACTGCCCTGCCAAAGGCTACATCATCCCTCGCCTGCTGGGTAATGGCGTAGTGTGACGTGAAGGTGTGGATGGAAGACCACGTTGCTGCCTTGCAAATGTCCTGGATAGGAACCGGCGCCAGGAATGCTGCAGACGACGCCTGCGTTCTGGTGGAGTGCTCCGTAAGCGGAAGGGCTGGAATTTTAGCCAGGTCGTAGCAAGTCCTGATACAGGACGTGATCCATGATGAAATGCACTGGGACGAGATCGGAAGCCCCCTCAACCTTTCTGTGATTGCAATAAAGAGCTGTGGTGACTTACAAAATGGCTTTGTGTGCTCAATGTAGAATGCTAGGGTACGCCTAACATCCAGGGAATGGAACATGCGCTCC